ATGGCCTTGCGCGCTCCAAGGCCGCCCCGCCCCGCCCGTCCGCCCGCCCGTCCGCCCGGCCGGCACTCAATGGGCGGCCAGCTGATCGGCGGCAGCGTGGAGGAGTCGCGGAAGCGCGGGCCGCCCCGCCACGCTACGCCACGCCACTCCACACCACGCCACGCCCCTCGCCCGTTCCAATCAGTCGCTCTGGGGGGAGCACAGCAAAACGCATAACCCGTTAATGCAGAGCGATTTTTATAAGAATGAGCCAAAGTGACAGTTCGCTTAACAAGTGAACATCACGTGTAATTCAGAGAAGTATCCCGCCTCTTTTCTTTTTTTTTTACGGCTCACGCGATGACATCACAATACAGAAGTCTAAGAGTTCCGCTGAGGTATAAGCACGTACGCTAGTCCGGGAAATATTGAAATTTAATTACGTACGTCGAAAAGTGTCTTAAACTGCTCTCATATTCAGTAAAAGAAAATTGCTAAGAATGTAAATGGAAAGAAAAATGATTTTTCGAGGGACGCCCAATACCTTTTCTGGGCGTTTCACAGCGATTGGCACATGCATTTGTGTAGTGAAGAGAGTGGTTTAAATATTACATCCCGTAAATAGTTATCTAAGTGCCACAGGGTTAGCACAGTAGTATAAATGCCAAAAATGTTTGTTTTAGTTTTGTAAGGGGTTTGTTTTGACATACTTAATTTACGCAACAACAACAAAAAAACAACAACAGAAAATCAGGAAAACACCCTCAACAACAAAGCAAGAACGAAGCTAAAAACACAACATCGCTATTTGCATGCACACGACACTTAGATCACAATTCACAAATTGCTGCATCTCTTTTCTGCACGAATTCTTTTGGCAATGATGTGAACTACTCCACACAAATTTGGTATTACTCGCACAACCTTTGTTGAACGATGGATTCAAGAAATGCGGATGAAGCTGGGGTATTAGTTACGAATTCGGCCACTAGATTTTATAAAGCAATGCCAATCTCTGGAGAATCAGTCATGCCTTCGCGACGTTCTCAACAATTTGCGTTCTAACTTTCTCAGGTGTTCGAGATATCTCCTGTGATAGATCTTTACCTGCTTTGGTCATTTCTTTAGATTTTTGGAGAAAATAACAGATAGAAGTTCTCGTCTTCAAAAGAAAATTGTT